CATCAACTCTTCTAGAGCTAAAAAAAAAAATAAGTTCTGTGGAACAGCAAACTTTTCAGTCTTTACATGAAATCAGGAAAGTCACAGCATAAGATCTTTGAGTATGAACAGAAAAAAAAAAAGAATTTTAAGCACAGAACAGACGAAAATTAGAGCTGCTTTTGCTTTCATAAAAAGAAAAGAAAAAAATCTTGATTCAAATTCCCGTATCATTATCCAGGTTCTTCTGAAACCTTGCTCAGGCACAGTCCTGGGGAAGTCAAACCAAACTAATGGTATACAAAGATACAAGATGCTGCATACTGGCAAGTCTATTGAATCAGCCAGTTCCACTGGATTTGAAAACACAGAAAAGTTTCCCTATCTCCCAAAAGCAGAAGGGCTAAGCAGCCTTTCTTTTCTTGTCCCAAATCATTCAACAGCAGTTTTCTTGAACACGGTAGAATAAAAACTGAGTTGCACTCACAAACGTTTCAGTATTTGTTTTAAAAACAGAGGGACAGATGCCAGAAATGCTAAAGAAAAGCCAGATCCTGCATACAGTAGTGCTACTGAGAAGAGGCTTCTGTTCTGTGAAGGCTTCCCCCTGCAGTGCTGAAGTTGAGGACTGTACTGCCCAAATGCCAGAAAATGCAACACGGTGGATTTGAGAGACCCCTGACACTACAGTGAATAAGGGTACGCATGATTTCCATTACAGTAAGTGAGCACTGCTTTGTACGTATCATCCCGTAAAAGTTATGCCATAAAACAGATATATGAAGTTTGTGTTTCATAGAAAGTATTCTGCGTCTGCTTCGCGTCTGTTGGGGGATATCAGAGCGATGAGTTAATATTCTGTGTTTAGGTGCCTTACTCACTTCCCAAGTGACATGGTGGAACACATTCAAGGGCTCATTAAGTTTCCAGCCATTCCTAAACAGCAACAGGTGCTTGAGAAACGTTTCTCCAGCATGTCGCAGACAGCTTCATCACTGTCTTGGAAATAACTGACTGCGCTTGTGTTTCCTCCATGGCACCAACTGACAACGAGGAGAGAATGAAAAAGAACAGGAAGAACTCCCAAAACATCCGCATGTGCATAGTGAATGGGTCTAGAAACGCAAGTAATAAAAGACCCTGCTGCATACTCGAAATTCAGATAAGATACTTGCATGTCTGTCCAATGTTGCTGTTCACTCAGACTCCAGTATCACGTTCAACCAAGCTCTAACAGGTTCCTGAGAACATTAATTAATTAATTGAAATGTCATTGTAAGAAGCTGAAACTCTGCCAGTGATTAGTATTTATTAATCCTTTAAGTAGTTTGGCTATGTGTTCAAGCATACTGGACTGGATGCCTTGGGAAGCTTCTTCAAGCATGAGAAGAAAGATGAAATGTAGCTGGAAAAGATATGGTCCACTGCCTGGCATGGCATTTATGTTTTCACAGGCTGGTTTAGCATTTGTGAAGAGTGCTCTGTATGTGCACAGTTACCTACAACATTTCATAATACAGCCAGCCACTGCGGAAAGATTCATTCACAAGAAAGCAGATTTGTAGTTCAACTAACAGATTTAAATTCCTTATGCAACAATCAAGGGGTAAATATTTAAGACTAGGAGAACTATATCCGAGAGTTTCCTATGTGTAGAATATCCCCATGTCTTGATCTTCTTTTCTTTACATGGAAGTACTAGAAGATACTAAAGGAAATTCTTTGAAAATTGGGCAACATGGAGTCTTCTCTTGCCTCTTTCTTCTCATCTGTCTCAATGATGCCTGTACATGTCAGTCCATCAACATCCAACAATTCCAAAGCTGTTTAGAACATAAAAGCTCTATAAACAAGATCCTCAGACAACTAATTTATTCATTTGAAATCACCTGCGTGATTTGAGTTACTGAATATCAAATGGATATGAACTTTTGCTATTCATTTATCTAATTTCCAGAAAGTATATTGTCCCCATTCCTTGACTACTTGGCTGGTTGAACACAGGTTTAAGATATACCCATTCATCTATAGGAATTTATGCACTTCAGCAGCACTTGCCACCTAGGGCTGACCTTTCAAACCTGCTTGGGAAATGTGGGAAATGTGTTTTACCAGTAACTCAGGGCAAAAGCCAGAAAACAAATAGAATATGTTAATTTCTAGAACATCATAGGAAGACACAAATTTGGAGAACATTCTGTAATTCCAGTTATAAAAGACTTAAAAAAGATCAAAAAGTGTGGTGAGAACCCTAAATCTTTTTAGCTGCAAGGGACCTCAACAGAAGATTTTGTAGAAGACTTTTGAGTATGCATATGCATGCCTACATAACATAACAGAAACTGAAGAGAACAATACTGCAGAAAACAAGAATACTATCAAAATAATTCCAGGAATACAAGAATATTTAAGTTTTCCTACTGTGAAGGAGATTAAATGGCCACTGCCTTGTCTTGAACCCTGTCACTTTCTCTTAAATACCCCTGCTAGTGCTTTGCTTGGGTTGCCACATGTCTGTCTTGCAAAGTTTGGGAATAGCCTGCAAAATCCCTGCTGACAGCTACTGTGCTGGCACGTAAATGCACGAGAACTCTGTAGTCCATTTAAAGTGTTAGGAAAAATGTCCCTTATGGCAACTTCTTACATGTTGTAACAAGTTCCTAGGTGTTGTAATGACATTGTGTGAGGTTTGTACTACGTCTGTTGCATTATGCCACCACCGCCCATCACTATTAAGATAGAATAGCAAAGGTGTATCTTAGAGAGCTTTATAAAGTCCTGATGCAATCAGGTCCCAGAGGCTCTGAAAAAAATGTAACAAACAACAAGGGGGGTGTGGGGGGGGAAAGGCCAATGCTCCAAATAGGATTCCTTTCAATTTTGTGTGGTAACACCATGACAGCACCAAGAAATTGCAAGTCCAGACAACTGGATTGCCTCCATGCTCAAGTTGCTCATCCAGTCACTGTTATTTCAAAGTAGCTTTCAGTCAACATCAGTTCACTGGAAATTTGTTTCTCCATAAGATATCACTGAGGTTGTTCTTGGAAATCAATGAGATGACTTTACTACAGTGATACATAAACCTTTGCTAAAACAGAGGGTGAGGAAAGGGGGTAAACTACTGGTTTTCCTTTGCTGATGAGTGCCCGTATTCCTAACTTCAGCCAGTCTCTGATTTCTGCTGCTGCTTCTCATGCCACAGGCATAGTCTCTCTGACAGAAAAATCTAGGCTTTTTTCTATAGACTTCTTAATTAAAGAAAGTTTGCAAAACAGCACCCATCCTGCAAGTCTGACGTGACCTGATCTGCTTTGCTCTCTCCTATGCATGTTCTGCTGGCTTGCTTGTCACCATCCAGGGTGCATCTAAGCACCTCAATGCAGAATTGCACTAGGTGGAATTTCTTCACTGAACCACCACTATCTCCCTCTGGCTTGGATTTTTAATAGAAGCTAGCATTCTCCAAAAGGATTAATATTTGACCAAATTATTCCATTTTATTCTGCAGGCAACTGTACAATTTTCCACTGAATTCTGAAACAAATTTTCACTGGGCAAAACTCCCACGCTTCATCTATTTTTCACTTCACATTTTGCCTTTCAGGTGAATCTGAAAGCTGCCATTCTTACAAATAAAACTTAACAGCAGTAACTTTCCCAGAGCAGAAACACAGATTTAGACTTTTTTATTTACTTGCTGATGATATGCATGGACATGCATGATCTGTATGAAGAGGGAATCCCCAAAGAGCAGCCATAACCCCAGCGGGTTTTGGCAAGTGCCCCAGGACACTGGCACTGACCTCCAAATGAGCTACCTCTTTGCTCACTGTTAAAGTAAACAGAATAGGGATTGCTGTCAAAATGCCTTATAAAAATACAGTTCCATGACATGAAGAACTCTGCTCCTATGTGATCGTCACTAGTCAATATAGGGTTCATTCTTGCAGAAAATGAACAATCTCCCTGGGAACTATATTTTCAGGTATTACACTATACAAACTTTAATATGCACATTCAATTCTTCCCATAATTCACTAGAAACACAGAAGGGACATTATGCTTGAATGCTGTGGCAATTCACAGGTCCCCTGAGAAAACCACTGCAAATGTTACATTCCTTGAGATAAATCCTGAATCCTACCAAAATGGGCAGGAGTTTGGCCTCTGGCTTATTCTCCTTGTTATTGGAGAAATGAAATGAACTATCTCCTGAGATATGCACATGCTGGAATGTAAAGAAAAAGCTTCAGAGAGATTTTGTTCTCTGAGAGGACAGTCTTTGCCACGAAGGAGAAGCAACCATCCTAATCTGCACTCACTCAGGATATGTGAATCCACTCATTTTGTGCAGCATTATACGGTTACAGCTCAAGCTGTGCAAGTGTCTGCAACTCCCAATGCAACCACTTATGGTAGAACTAAACCAGCCACATGTCTTTTGTATCAGCTTACCTAAAGATCCCAGACAAACCGGAAGCCAGGGACTAAACCAGGTATTAGGTCAGGGGCTGTAGCTAATACTGAATAGAATCTTATTAAAACATTTTGACTTGTCAGTGGAAATCACTGCTGTGTAATGGAGCACAGCGTATTTTTGTTGACAGAGCCAGTTCAGTGTATAATTAATGCAGTTCTCTGGCTGGAGGCTTGGTATGTTCAGTAGACTATTGCTACTGGAAAACACCCATCAAAGTGGAAACCAAGTAAAACTTTGATGACAACCCTCTTCCATTAAATAGAAATATAACTCCCTACTATACTAGGGTTTTTTTTAAAAAGCACTAGAATGCAATGTTCTACTTCACTTTTTAAATTAAGATGTACTGTTTGCTTACTTATAGACTCTTAGCTGATTTTCCATGTGAAACCTTTCTGTGACAATGCCCAGCTCAATACCAGAGACTCAGAAGAAGATACAGCATAAGCACAGTAAGTCTGTTTTAGCCACATTCTTGCACCACCCCCCCCACCTTTGTAGTGTCCCCCCAGTACAAGAGAGACTACAGTTTATTTACCTTTATCCCAGGGAGTCCAGGAAGCCCAGGAAGACCTGGTTCACCCTATACAGGAAAATTACATAATATTACAGACATTATTCAGTTACGGTCACTATCCAGTGAACACCTTTGTATATTCTGCAGCAAGATAAAAGAGCATAGGTGACTGCTAGTCAGTTCAAGCAGGACTGATTTTTTCAAAATGAGTGACGTACATGTACAATTAGTAAGAGTCATGTTAAGAATTTAGATATCTTCTGGGAACCTTTGGATGTGAAGATGACGCCCAGGTAGAAAATCCATGTCAGGAAAGCCAAAAATCAATGCACATTAGCCTTCACCACAAGAGAAGAAAACGAGTGACGCTGGTTCATTTTACATGCTGCCATTTCAGTTCCATACTTACAACGGACGCTTAATTCTGTTCCATTTTCAAGTCTCAGCTAGATATTGTGCTGTGTAAGTGTCTGATTTAGCTACAAAGCAATTCAGAAGAGCTCGGTTTAAATTGCACAATTCAAGCAGGACTGCCTAATTATAACTGGGCTGCCATTTTTATAGAGCTATCTGTGGCATCATTTCAGTGCTTTCTATTTATCTGTATACGTGGTGTCATGAAGGATAGTGGGAGTTTAACCTTCTATTGCTTTACCCAGAAACACCTTGCTTATTTAAAATTGCAATAAAAAGTTCTATGGTACTGCATTTGCAAGGGTAATTTTGCAACAGGATTTGAAAACTGAATATATTAATTTTGAAATGAAGTTGATATTAGTCTAAGACAAGAATGACAACATTTGCACAAATGGTCATTTTGAGATATCAGCTAAATGGAAAGATGTTGTCTAGGGAAATAAAAATGATGAACAGAAAAAAAAAAAGAGCAATAACATGTGAAGAAAACATTATTTTAAAGGCTGGAGATTTTGTTTTAATACAGAGATGGATTCTAACCAGCACCTTGGATCTGAATATTCCCTGAACTTTCTGGAAGCTCAGGTCTGAACTCTGACGCCAACTTTTACCTTTATAATGAGTTGAACTATATTCCAGATTTTATACACTCCTGAGCTTTACAGAAATCCAGATTTCAACTCTGTGGTTTGGGTTGATTCATACAGATTGTGCTATTAAAATATTTTCTATGTGTGTGTATACACACACACATACATTCATACACTCTCATATACACGTGCATAGATACACAGAAACACACATATAGATAATATTGATGTACATCAGACTACAGTACCCAAATAAATTTCTTTGAGGCAGTAGTATTAAATAGACTTGAAGCGTTAATAACAAAATTACATTCTGCCACAAACTGAAAAAATACAATAGATGGTCTGCAAATCACTTTACCAAATGGAGTGATTTTTTAAATGTTATAGAAGGATCTGATAGCAGCTTCTTTGTCCATTTCATTTACTCCAAAATTTTAACTGTTCACATTGCCTAAAAGCACAGGAAAGATTCCAGTCTCAAAGTATTAACTGTAAAATGAGATGAAAGAGTAGAGGCTAGGATACCATTTTCAATAGACACTATTATTTCTTGGTAAGTCATCAAACACTTTCTAAAGCTTAAAATGGGTTGTCACTCCTGCAAAGGAACAAGCCTTTAAAAGGCCTCCATTGCACTCATTCCTGACAAAATGCTGGCTCCAAAACCCTACCCCTTTCCCTTTCGGTTTCTTACCTGAGTAGCCGTACATACCACACCGCTACCATGACCTTTTCTCATCTGATGATGAGAAGCATTCAATTTCACTTCTAAGCACAGCATTTGAGTAATTATAGCTGCTCATATATTAGTATTGGTGCAGTAGGTCACTGCTTAGTCTTGGGACAGAGCTAACCTCCACAGACCCACTGTAACAAGCAGAAAGGATCCAGCAAAGCCAGTTCAGAGTCACGGTAATCTCAAACACTTAAAATGCCCCTCAAAGATACACTAAACAATGTGAAAAACAATGAAATCGCTAGTGCTTCATTAGAATTAGTATTGTAGATGAATGTATCATATTTTCTTTTCTGGACCTTTCCTGGTACAAAAGATCTGAGTATGATTTATGAGAGGAATGACTTTGACAGAAACCAAGGCTGTATGCTAACTCCATCTCATAATGTCAAGGTTGGCAGGGCAGGTTCTTCTGTCACCTCTGCAATACATATGGCACCCAACAGCCCTGTCAGCCCATTGAAATACCATCACATTTCATTTCATGTAAATCATATTCAGGTGGGAAGGTCAATATTTATCTGTCCTTAGAAGATGGATAAGGAATAACTGGAAGAAGAGGAAGAAGTAAAATATAAGGAAGAAGGGAAGATACAGGAAGGAGATAGGAATGGGACACAGTAGTGGGAAAAGTATTGAGATGAGGTAGAGGGCAGACACATGCCTCCAGTTGAAAACAGGGTCCCCCACAACCTCAGGTGGAGTGAGCGAGTCCTTGCTAAGCATGGGGCAGAACAGCAGACACGGAGCACCTGGCTGGAAGAGGCACTCTGAACAAGTGCATTACAGGAGCTGCTGGTTTGGGCTGGGGATGTGAATGGGGCATACTGGAAGCTTGGGAGGTGAGGTGAAGTGGAAAGAACGCTGTAAGCCCCCTTTGGTGTGAACAAGCTCAGACTATAGAAAGTTTGAACTGCATACCTCTCACTTACCTATGTTACCTAAACGAGATCAAGCCTGAGTGCCTGGGGACTGAGATCCTGGAGCCCGCTGATAAATCACTGCTAGTTTTGCCTCCATGGCAGACAGCTAATGAGAGTATGAATCTCAACAGGCTCTTAAGTGCATTTTCTAGTTTATTACCCAAGCAAAGCATACACTGCAGAGTGCACACTGAATGATTCTGTGGATTAGATAGCCTTAAACTACTTTGATTACCTTTCCTAATTAAAACTCCATTTTCCTAAAGAACTGCATTTGCAACCATAATAGCCTTTGTTTAGTCTGTTATAATTTATGACAGTTATAATTTCTCAAACGATAGACTTAACTTCTTAGTTTATATTTATGTGTGTTTTGGAGTTTTGCTTAGTCACCAAAAGACCTTGAGTATTAGAAAACGGTTGTACTGCCATTCACTATATAGAATTTTAGCGTTTGGCTGTCTGTCTGGAATACCTGCTAGCTCAGCTGGCAGCTGGACTCTGCTCCACTCTGGCAGCAGTGGGTACTTTTCAATGTTACAAGAGGCAAGAATGGTGCTGAAGACTCCCAAGGGAACCCCAGTCCTGCAAAGCAAAAATCTGGTTCCCTCATTGCCCCTTCTCTTTGCCCTTTCACCAGCTCTCCCAGCAGGACCTGCCTCCTACTCTCATAAAAGGCAGCTGAAGGCACAGAATTCACTGTGTTTGATGTACTATGGATTCAAAGAGGAAATTCCCCAGCTTCAGAGGGCCTCATGCAGCACAGAATCATTACAGCTCCTGCTGGACCTTTATTTGCAAAAGCAGCCTCAGCTACGCAGCACCCAGGGGAATTTCTTCCCCTGGAAGGAAGAACAGGGCAGCATTAGCTGGTCTATGTCCTTCCAAACATGCCGCATGCTTCCGACAGTTTGATTCCCCTCACAAGTGCATGTGAAAGGCTTTCTAGTCAATATTTATTTTCTTCCTAATGAGAAGTAATAACGTACCATGGCCTGACGGTTAATATTCAGTCAACCATGCAGGGTTAACTTGTGACAACTCAAAGAGCAGAGCCGTTCTTTGTTAGTCTCACCAGCTGCAACTGGGTAAGCTTTCAATGCAAGGTGTGCTGTGGCTAGAAGAGTAGGTGGGTTATTCTACTATTGCTTTTCATGCTAATTAATATCATCATTCCTGTGCTTTTTTGAAATACAAAATGATCATACACCAAGCGTGTACAGGCTGTTAAATTGTACTGCCTTGGGATCACCCTAGTATGGGTAAGTGCCACTGGTAACATCTGTGTAACATCGTTTATCACAAATCCAACAGAGAGAAAAAGGAAAATTTAACATTTCCAACTAATACCTTTTGTCCAGGCCGTCCAGATTCACCGGGTTCACCCTAAAAGGAAAGAGAGGGAAGACATGAGATCTGACAAAATGGATTAAAAATAGAGCTGGGGAAAACTGTAACATTAAGGTACCCCAAATATCTGTGACGTTACAAAGTAACACAGACCAACCACCCCTCTTCTCCCTGTACAACTGCTTTAAAACTAAATTACCTTAATTCCTGCAGCAGAAGAACCAGGGTCACCCTGATACAAAATCCACAAGAAATAATCACACTTATTATATGTACAGTTTTTCAGGAAACAGATATAACAAAACATGCAAGAGTATAGCAAGATTATATAGCAAAGTAACTATATAGTAAGATTACCTGTTCTCTGTGCTGCTACATAGGAATTTACCCAATTAATTAAATCAGTGTGATGCAGAAAAGGAACAGTATTTTTTTCAAGAACATGCAGAGAAATTTAGTTTCACTCATACAAACAGCATAACAGCCTCAAATTTCACAACTGATAATGTAGATGTAATAACTTGAGATTTTGTATCTTTGTGAAGCCAGAAGATGGGACATACTTTGACACCTCTAAATGGCTGGTATAGATAAAAAATACTTTACTGCCATTTACAAAGAATATTAGCAATATTTTTGACCTAATTCTACAGATGGCAAGTGTTAGGTCTCAACTGACAAAGCTTTTTGTGCTAATGAAGGTTAGCCTTGAAAAAAAAAAACCAGTGACCTCTGTGTTCATCCCCATCAGGACAGGTCATAGCTCTGTTTCCACAGCTCTCCAGAGTATTTAAACTGATAGTTTAATGCAGTTAAGTGTTATACTTTATAGGATGAGAGTGCTATGGTAATTTATGTGTTCAGGAAAGGTCTCTGTTCTGAGGAGGCTTCTAGCATTCACAAAGGTTCACCTGCGTTCTGCTGGGTTGACTAGATTTGATCGGCAGTCATATGCACAAGGGCAGAAGAACAGTGAGTGACCTGGCCAAGGAAGCTTTTAGCTCCCAGTTCAGTACAATTGTCACAGGATCCTTAAAATTCCTGTATATTCACTTTACCACATTTTCCTAATGACACACCAAACAAAAATGAAGAAAACTAAATCAAAGAAAGTTTTCTAGTCAAACTACGTGCTGTTGAAGGTGGCCAGAGTGCTTATATTTGAAGAACTGTCTCATTCATTATTCAAAATATATTTTGATTGTGCATTGAAAGTAACAGGTTGCTACACAATAGCAACTTCAAGCTCCCCAATATCCTGCTAGTGATTTACATTGGTGTCGTAGGAGTCAGTACTGTAACCTACTCCGAAGAAGTTTAAGCAGAGTATAAACGTTCAATACTTTGCATTAAAATACAAACAGTGGATGCCCATTCCTGATGGTGCGGTGAAGCTGGAGGAAGTGTTCTGTGAGTGCCATAGTTTTAAAGTTGGTTTGGGTATGAGGTCTTTTTGGTAATAGTCTCATAAAATTAAATTGTACCAGATAACATGCTCACTGCTCTTTGAAGAATAGGAACAGATTTCCTCTACACAGTTACTGCAGCTCGCTCTTGTGTGAAGAAAAAACAAAAATCAGTTTTATGAAGGGTTGATTCATGTCTGGAAACCTGAACTGCCTCATTTTGATAGACATGCATGAGTGATACTGCTGATATCCCTTACAAGCATGTACAACTGCAAAGCCTCAAGGACTTTTTATAGCTATAAAGTGGCAAAGCAACTGGTAAAAGACATTCACCAGTTAAACATTTTAAAGGATAATGATGGATACGGGGAAGATAAGACACAAAGTATTTATAATCCACCTTCACGCAAGAATGAAAATTAATATGGGATTAAAGAAAAAATTATGGTACAACATGTTCTCAGTTCTCTGAGAGTCAGACTGTTTGAAAATGAAGAAACTTTAGTGGGGGAACATGCACACAGAAGGAAGATACTTGGTAGTTTCTAGGGACCAAGGCTACAGTAGAAGAGTAGAAGCAAGAGCTCAAGTCTGGCATTGACATTGTCTTCAAAGTAGGAAAATACAACAAAGACGGTTTCTTTCTTAAGTCACAGGTCAAGAATTAGGCACCCAAGTCCGCATTTCTGAGAGCCACTAGGTAGAATTAATGAATCATTTGGGTTGGAAAAGACCTTTAAGATCATCAGTTCCAACTGTTAAGGTACAGCAGTTCAGGAAACAAAGCTACATTAATTGCACAAGCAGGAACCCGTTCCTAAACCAAGTCTGAAACTGTTGCCACCTGATCTCTCTCTCTCAGCATATAAATGAAAATTTAGTATTTATCTCACAGAAACATTATTTAAGCTTTTAAAGCAATGTTTTTAAGTTTTGTGAACTACGAACTACATCTCTTAAGCCTATGTGTAGCCTTACTATCTACTGCAGTGCTCTCTGCATTTATTTACATAAAATTAAAGGCCTGTTTACTGAGCAGGAAGGGTTTGTACGGGTATGTGGCTGAACACCTGAGAACCGAAAGGATACTAGCCTTATCTCATCTCTGAACAGTACCTCCAGCAGCTCTCAAAACCAGCCTTTGAAAAATGAACCTTAATAAGTTTTACACTCCTCCCCACAAGTATTCAGCTGGCAAAAACTTTCAGTGCTCATCTGGTAGTGCAGTTCCATAATGCCCAAACTTTTCAGAACTACCCAAACACAAGGCACAGGTTGTGTAGCAGGGAAAAACTATAACAGAAGATATGTATAAGCGTACTGCATCAATGCTGTGAAATTTGCTGGAACTTGATTTCATCTGCTTCTTTTAAAACATAGGTTTTTTTATGTTAATCTCCTGCCCAATAGGAAGCACCCAGTGGAAAACATTGAAGGAATGCTCTTGAGCTACTTTGAAACCCTGACATTATTTGTAGTCAAGGGAAGTTTATCTGCCTCCTCAAGATGATCACGACACCAGTAGAGAAAGTGCAGACACAATAAAAAAAAAAAAAATTTAAAAAAACCCCAAACAAACAAATAAAAAAATATAGAAAGAAAGTCAAGGCTAATTTGTGAACACGTTAATTAAATGTGGCTGTAATAGTAATTCTGTTTTCCTCTAACACTTCTATGATTAGCGATTGCTGGCAAATTCATGTTGGAATTATACATAATGATCATAGAGCAAAAATTTCCCCTATGCTGAAGACCAGGAAAGAATACAATCTGTGTTAAGGTAGTACAAATGTAATGTAAAGACACCAAGTTTAATGCTCACTCCTAAATCATCTCTCAGAAAACACCCTCCTAAGCTCTCCACAAGGTGCTGTTTGCAGAGCTATCTATCGGAAACATTACGCTGCAGCTCCTCTATAAGATCTGGATCTTCTTTTCTGGGTGGCAGATTTGTCTTGCAGGCAGGGAAAATGGAGGCAAAATAATAAAAGTCAACTAAGTCACAGTTCTTCTTGTAAAAATTCATGGAGTGGATTCTAGCTTGTTACCGTTAAAGCAGTGCACACCACACAAACGGCATATATTCCCAAATCACCACCTCTGAGACTTACATGAAACTTGGAAGAGATGGGAGACTTCTGTATTACGAAGTTCACCAAGTTTATTGAAATTTCATTAGATACAGCAATACAAGAAGTCTCCCGATGACCTATACTTTCCCAGCTAGACTGCCAAACTGCTGAAAGCTCACACAGAAATATTTAAAACATTATACTTGGGGAGAAAGAATTTCCCACTGAAGGAGGGAGAGAACTTTTTCTTTCCTTAAACAAGATCCCAAGCAGGGCGATGTGCACACAGCCGACCACAGTACAGGATGGGCATTCTAGTGGATGCAAGCTCGCTCAAACAGTCAATAAAGTAGGAAAAGCAAAAAGTGAAGCTGCACTAGGCTTCCCAGAGAGATTAACTTCCCGTTTGCTTGTTGCAGGACTATCTATCTGAACAACAATCTCATACTTGCTAAAAGATTATGTTCTTGAATTACACAAAAGTGGATCAGGATGGTGTTACCAGCATACATTGTGTAAGTAACTAAATAAGGTTCTTAAGACTTTCATTTGGGTTAATAAGCATGACTGCAGCTGAAGTATTATTTAAATGAATTTTGGGAATCAAATAACTTGACTATTCTTAAATCTAACGTTTAGTTTTAACTGCTGATTTTAGAATATGCCCCATAAAATCCTCGTGTTCTTGAAAGCATAGCTTTACTGTACCCAAATGATAGGACCTGAGAGATTTGCATGCATTCCTCACCAGCTTGATAAATCCATCATAAATTTCTCCTTGCACTAAACTGATATGAGTTGGTTAAGCAATTATACATATAGGAATACAAGAAAAAATTTTTATGCTTCTGCCCAAGTGTAGTCACTAAAATGAATGTTTACAGAAGCATATGAGTTCCAAAGTGATGGCCAGAAGAGGTCATTGTGACTGACCCTTCTTCCTATGCAGCATGGGCTTTCCTCTGACTGCTAAAGACTATGACTTGTGTAAGTAAAGCACATTTTAAAACTCGAGTTCAATTTTTTTTTGCAGTGATACAGCATGAGTCTCACATAAAATAAATCAAAACTAAGTAAAATAAAATTTTAACAATGTCCACTCTTTAGTGACTTCTACGACACATTGGTACTTTGCAACAATGAACTAACAAGGTACTAAGTGAGGTTATTGCTGATGTCATCTGGAAAAAAGATTTAAAATGTAATTTTTGTCTTCAACTCTCAATTGTCCAGCCATTTGGAGGGAAATTACCTATCACAACACCATATTTTTTTGTCCCATTTTGGTTTGGTTCCTCTCTTTGAGGGCAACAGAGAAGGGGAAACATAAAAGGATATATCAGGAACAGCTATAACCCAGCAGACCTAGTTCCAACAGGCTGGCAGGTTGTGACCAAAGTTTCCGTATGATGCAAATTTCAGAAGGACTGCTAATTAGAGACATGCTGATGTATCCTGTACTAAAGTTGCTGCTGTATAAAGTCAGAAATTTTATGCTTAATTAGACACAACAGTGACATTTTTTTCTGCCGTTCATAAAAATGAGCTCAGTCAAATCACTCAGCATCTTTAAAAAAAAAAAACCAGCTTAAAATGCATTTTTTTTTTGATCAAATTATTATTTTCATTAGCTGGTTATACTGTAAGCATGCCTAAAGCATGCATTTTCTTCTCTACTAATAAGTAGTGTACCTTTTCTCCTGTGTCACCCTTCGGTCCATTTTCTCCAGCATCACCCTATAAATACACATTATATTTTAATGATTTTATGTAAGCACACAGCACGCAGAGAAATGTCAGCATTCCAACATCATTAGCAAGCTAATTTTGTTAATCAGGTAGTCAATCTCCCTATGATATGATCAGGAAGCATGGTTTATGTAGCTGTTATGTCTTAACATAGTCTTCACTATAACTGTAATCCCTTTCACAGGTCCTCCAAAAAACCCACAAGCTATCAAATAACTATCTTCCTGTCGGTGTAGTCTACAGACTTCCCCAGTCCACTGTGGTTTAGCAATGAAGGAATGATTTCATGGTGATTCAGCATTTTGAAATTACAAGTAAGTATGGAGTTTTTTCCAACACAGAGACATTTCCTAAATGCATCTAATCATATTCAGGTGACAGTTACACAGTTCCAATACCTTTTATTAGATTCTCACGTAACTTACGGCATATATTCTCTGAGTCTGAAGTCCTTCATGAATGACTGACAAACTAGAAAAACCTCACTGAATGCCATTCCTCCAAGGAGCCACCAAAATTACTGTTATCGCTACATAAATTCTATGCATTGTTTATTGTTAAAAAAAGTGATGTTCAGATAACACTTTTTCATGGCTGGGTGGACATTTTCTACTTTAAAAACAACTTTGTAAAGAAAAATTTCAAAATATTTATCTACAAAAAGACCCAATTTCCATTTATAGTCACATAGCCATATAGTTAAGTCCAGACTACTCCAAAAAGTCTTTGTTATATATGAGACTACAGGACAAAAATTTCTGTGGGACTTGAGGTTCATGTGAAGTGTGAGAAATATTTGAAAAGCCAAAATTATTGATGAATGTTGAGTCTAAGTAGGCTAAAAAACATTCTAGTAGGTCTTGGTCAGATAACCAATAGTAGTATTCAAATAACAATATTTATTCAGTATCTGTCATATTGCTCTGAAAATCTTAATGTAAAACTCCGTTCAGAGGACTTCTTACAACAGAGACCATTTTTTATATCACAGTCACTGACACAATGGGAACTAGCTAACAATCTAGCAGAACTTTAATTAAGGGCTTGATGAAACATGGAAACATGAAACAGTAACTGTTATGAATGTCATCCCAAGTTCATTCGACATGAGGTTATTTATAATTACATTTTTTAGGAAAAGACAAAGGATGACTATGGAAAAATATCACGATTTTAAGTAATAGAAACTCAGTATATGTTAAAATGTATAGTTATTCCTTTTGTGTCTGAAGACAAAGGATTATTGAAGTTCTTCAAATATAATTTTAACCAAAGTAATGATTTCATGAAAAGAGATTCCCAGTTACATATTTCTACATGTGGGGTATATACTTTCAAGATTCTTTTGGATTATTTTTATGATGTGCTTTTCAAAATGTGAAATGAATTGCCTTTGCAAAGCATGCTTCCAGCTGCTGTTACATGGATTTACACAGATCTGGAAGTGAAATTCAATTGCAGCTGCAAAGACATGGATGAACATTTCCAAGAACACATTGCACTGAATACAAGCAACTTACTTTTTTAAAATTTGTCTCAGTGTACTTGTAGAAGATCAGGCTGTGTACAGATTCCTACTCAAAATAAGGCTTACACCATTACTCAAACTGCACTTGTGCAGATGCAGAAGCTTGACTCTCAGTGTGTGCTCTCACATGGGTGCTCCTACCGGCCACTCTCCCTGGAAGAGCAGGATTACACCCACGTTTTGCAGTGTGGAGCTTGTTCTGCCCCCTCGTCTTGTCTTGGCGTGACTGTGGACATCAGAGAAGTAGCTCCTCGCTAACTCACTGCAAGTCAGAGCCCTGTTAGCGTATCATCTGTGCTGCCAGTACCTCTCCAGACAGTCTATAGCCTGAAAGCACTGGGGCAGATTCCCTTGTTCTTGCTTAAACTGATCCAAGCAAGAACGGAGGACTCTACTTTTGGTATGCGGAGAGCTGGTTACCACATATCCTTTGGAGTCTATGTAGTTATCACTCTGTTACCTAATTGTTTTACTCTGCCCAGGTGACAGAGCAGCGAAACCAAGTTATGAGAAATGTGTGGATCTCTCATTTATTCAGACAGGCTCATCTTTTTCTGAGACTAATCACAGTTAGGATTAGTTGCACATTTGCTCAACTGTGCAGCCTTTAACACATGACCACTGCTCTCTGTAGCTAATCCCACTGCAGCAATCACAGATCAGTAACTTCCATTAGCAGGTATTATTTGACACTCGTAAAGGCTGCACAATGCCGCACAAGTTCTAGGTAATAGCTGTATTTATTTCTTTTTAAACTCTGGATCAGTGGACTGGCAGTTCTCCAAAACAGAACCACCACAAAGGAAGAGAAACACGTCTCACCTTTTCTCCTCTTTCTCCAGGGTCACCCTGATGAAAATAATTGGGGCAAAGAAATTGTAAGTTACTAATACAAGCAAAAAATCAAAGTGTTAGTATGACTATCATTAGTATGTCAATTACTAACAATTATGTCCCAACTGATGACATTGTCTCAGATGATAAAATCCAACAAGAAACTCTTCAATAAAAAATAAAATATGTAAATTTAATAGAACTCAACAGACAATAAATCTTCAATGTAATTTTAAAAGCTTAAAGATTTGCATGTAAAGACTTTTTCCCCCCATTTTGTCCTAGATTAAACCCTGACAAACAGGCATGTGTCTTTGTGAAGTGGCCTGCCAGGACCTAGGTGACTCCTACATGTGGTTCTCCTTATTTTGGGAATGAACAAAGGAAAAATCCAAAGGTTGAATGTGAAGGAAAAGGCTTATAATTCTGTTAATGGCCCAGAAGGCTCCTCAGGAGAGACAAAAAGCCTTAAGTGTCTTGAACTAGTTCATAACTGATTCAGAGCAAAGAGCCTTCGGTACTCCTTACGTTCTCTGTAACAAAAAGATGGCTTATAGACATTATTTTTCAAAATTATAACTTCCTTGAGAATTGCCTCAATGGCAAAATGCATTTCTGCACACCAGGCTGACCCTGACAACTCATCTCTGCATTTCTGGCTCTGAACTGCACCCTGGCTCATCTTTGCCCCTCCTGATGGCTGGCAGTCGCTAGGCAACTCAAAGAGTACAGCTGTGAATACAAATTAAGCATCAACTGCTATAATTTGGCTTCTTCTGTATACAAATTAAGAAAAGGTCATGCTCCCAAATGGTTTGTTTTCATTCCTGATGGACAAGCAGCCAGTCAGTAAATGTAAAGAGCCTGCCCTGTGTGGCTGTCAGCAGAAGTGTGATGCACAGAATCAGCTGAGGAGCACATGTGCACCAAAGACGCACGCTCACAGCTGATGGGATTAGAATTTAGCATTACCCATTCCAAGAGGCCCACAGATCCCATCATCTCGGACATGGCAAGCTTTCTTTTAAATGAAGTTATCATAAGCTTTATGTTCTATTTCTCTTGTTCAATATTAAAACAGCAGAACAAATTATTTAACAATAAAATAAGTGCAAAGAGACAATCTGATGTAACAAATACAGGCAGAGACATGCTCCTAATGAGGCTAGTTGCTAACTTCCATAATAGCAGGATCAGCCCTCAAAGACTTAACCCTGCCATTCGTCAAAGAACTGACCACAGTAGTTCTTGAAAAGAAGCCTAAAACACATTGTAAGGAGCATAAACAAAGCCTTTCTAAAAAGGTCCCCAAATTCCCAAACACTTGCAGGCATAATGCATTCACTTGGCAGTGGATGCATACGCGTCAGTGCCACTGACTGGAATTATACATGCACAGCAGAAGAATATGCTTCTTTACGGTGAAATGTGTAAAGCCTCTTACAGCACTGGTCACTGGAGGGGGCAGATCATTAAAAGCCAGTCAGAATATAAACCCAAGTTGGAAAGCATGACAGTCATCTGTACATGCACTCACATAGCGTGTGCTTCTGTTTTTAATCTGTTTTCAATACCAACCTTAAGTCCTGTTGCTCCCTTCTCCCCGGCTATGCCAGGCAAACCAGGTTCACCCTAAAGGCAAAGAAAACAAAAGGTGGGGTTCAGAAAGACACAATGAAGTACATTAACAACATTTCACCTACTGTCTCATATTGGGTAAGCAATGATAAAACTTTAAAGGATTCTGTGAATATGTACTCCACAGTTGGGCACTAAAATGCCTTATTTCATCAGGCAGGGTGGATTAACTCTAATTAACTCCTGCAGAGATAAGAAATAATTCCACCAAAGATGATGGAAATACACAGGTGTCAAACTAAACAGAAAATAGAATTGTGACTTCTGATTCTGAAAAGCTGGCCAATTAACCTTAAGAGCATAGTCTACCCAGCAAGACTGCCAATGATTTCCTCTTCTCTACAACTTAGAAATACTGCAAGAAAGGCTTATCTTAAATGATTTTGACATTTGTACTTCTGGTCTCATGTGGAAGGCAGATAATGAAGAAAAATGAGAAGGACCCGTTCCAGAAATGGAAGAGTTTGGAAGAATAGGCAGCTTTTAAATTTTTTAAATATAACTCACTCATCCATCTTTCATACTCTTATACCACTGGCTGGAAAGTAGATTTAAAAGATTTAAAAATTTTCAGCACTACATCAATGATCCAAATTTTGGGTATGTTTAATGGATAGTATATATATTCTTCCGTAGTTCAAGGAGTCATAAATAATTTTCGTAAGTCAACCAACAAATAACAATTATTTACAAACCTCTTTTCTTCCCCCAAATTTAAAAACAAAAAAACCCAATCAAACAAAAAAACCCCCGAACCCTAAACAAACCCTTAAAGACATTTCCTAGTGTTTATTTCCCAGATTTATGGAAAAAACACATATATTATTTATTTTAGGTAAAATCGTAAAGCAATGGCTAGACTTTATTGTAAAACAACTAGGGGTGATGGCTAATGATGTAAAACCTTCTGCAGAACCATGCCTCAATTTCACAATACCTGTCTGCTTTGGTAACCCTCCTGTACAAAACTGCATTGCACTTCTGGGATGGCAAAGCACATCAAATAACATCCAAAAAAAGATTTGAAAAAGCCTACAGGTAGGTTCTTCTATAAGCCCTTTGCTATGTAGATGTATAAAAATGTGTAAAGAAGTTAAATACAATAACTAACATAACAATCAAATTAGAAACAGTAATTCACATCAGGAACTCAGTGGAAATTTTTCATACAGCATTCAAACTTAGTAGACATGATGAACCAACCCTCTACTCAAAAGTTACAGAGCAGATAAGATAAAGACTTGTTCCAAATACAACAACATATCTTCAAATTCTCCATAAAAGCCTTCCATTAAGAAAGGATTTTTTTCTTTCTCACTTCCACAGTCACATTTTAATCATAGTTGTATATAAACTCTGATTCTCCATGAAAGCAGGCTCCATTCCATTTCTAAATTAGGTAACAGGCTCATCAATTACATTTCAGTTTCTTCAAGAGTTGGACTATTTCAAAATATAAACCAAACCCATCGAGGTTCTAGCGAAACTCTAGTGAGGTATTTTCCAAGGCAGAGAAAAAGTGTTAGGTACCATTAAAATCACAGGGAATTAAATAGCTGTTTGAGTCAGCCCTTTTTCAAGGCTCCTTTGTACTACACTAGACTTAAGGCTGATTATAGAAGCACAGGCATTCGATATGTGAGTGGTCAGGATTTGAAGCTGTTGGAGATTAGGCCTAAGTGTCCTAAAGGATTGACCTAAAAGGCACTTGAAGAAAACTGCAGTTGACAAAATGAAGCAGAAGGGACCAATGAATATGCACTTGTTTCTCCTTATCCCCATACCCTAAACAAGTTTGTGTCTGTCCCCTTCATTTTAAAACAGCTGCTGTCGGCTGACACTTTCAAGGGCTTAAATCTCTACTCAAAGGGTTGAAGTCCCAAGTTTGCACTTTCCTCCCAGGTTTACATGTCAGTGCTGTGAATGCAGAAAGCTACTACTACGACAAAAAGGAGACTGCAAAAATGGGACAAAAGAATTATCTTACTTTCTTTGGAAAAAAGTGAAAACCTTAGGCTGTCACCTAGTCGTAATAAATCCCTATTCATGTCAGCAGTCTCATTTCTGACCTATATGTGACTTTCCTATGGCCAACACTACACTTCTGGCACTGAAAGTACTAGTCAGAGGCATTATCACAGCAGAAATTAGCTCTGGGAATGGGAAAGATTGACGGCAAACCTAGAATGATAGCACAGAAATGACCTTGTGGCTTTATGCTTTTGAAGTGATTATCCTCCTGTTTCTAATGGCCAGAAAAACAGGGGCTAAAATAATTTTCTGTCATACCTACAATATTCCTTTTACTATTTTAGAACCCTATTTTCTTGTCCATACAAGGAATCAGGGAGCAATAAGGTGAAATAAAAACATACACTACATAAACTGCTCTATATTCTACCCCTGGTGAACATACCCAGTGCACAGCAAAACGAGCTTTGTGCCTGGGAGCCTCCCTTTATCACACTGCATCTCTTGCAGGCATGACAGAGTCTGGTTTTATGTGCAGATATTCTAACAATTCCACTAAAGCTTAGCATAAAAAAACAACCAACCAAAAAAAAAAATAAAAATCAAACCACAAAAATTACCCCCTCACCCCCAAAACCAAACCTCAAAATGAGCAAAGCCTTGACAGACCTCTGATCAGTTAGGAAATTCCAAAAGTAGCTATGAAGCAAAACAGAAGTTAACATTTTGAAGGAGAGTAGATTGATGGCTCTTCCCTTGCTATACGCTAAAATACTGTGCTATTTTAGGAGTATTGGTCCCAAAAGATGATCTTGATTCTTGGCATGAAAATAGTTTAAAATACTTCTGTTAGGAAGTATAGTTAATTACTTTCCTTCCACTTATTTACTTTTCTTTATTTATTAATCAAAGCGTATATTAAAACTGGAGTGCAAAATGCTGTATGTTTCAGCCCTACAAGTTAGTGTTCTGGAGATGAACAAAAAGTACAGCTGCCCTTTAAAAGGCTGAAGACAGTTACACTGCTGTTTCAAGCAGTGATGCACGCAAGGGAAGGCTAGACGTTCAGCCATGTCATCTGATGCAATAATTTCAATCAGACTGCTTTTCAACTTGGTAAAATGAAAGAAGCTATAAAACTAGATCCTTAATCTCACATATTTTTTTACATTCACCAGGCCATGGCTAATGTCTTTCCTGACTCATATTGCAGTCTCTCTTTAATAGCAGTGACAGCAAAGGTGTTTGACAGCAGAAGCAATTGTCTTCTGCACATCATCTAGCTTTAAAATCGAGGCAGCATTTTTTTTTTTTCTTTTCACAGAATCACAGCATGGTTGAGGTTGAAAGGCACCTCTGGAGATCATCTGCTTAAGCAGGGTCACCTACAGCAGGCTGCCTAGGACCATGCACAGATGGCTTTTAAGTGTCTCCAAGGATGGAGACTCTACAGTCTCCCTGGGCAACCTGTGCCAGTGCTCAGTCATCCTCACAGTAAAGAGTTTCTTGATGTTCAGAGGGAACCTCCTGTGTTTCAGTTTGTGCCCACTGCCTCTGGTCCTGTCACTGGGCACAACTGAAAGGTGCTTGGCCCATCCTCTTTGCACCTTCCCTTCAGTTGTTGATGAGATTCCCCCTGAGCCTTCTCTTCTCTAGGCTGAACAGCCTCATCTCTCTCAGACTTTCCTCATAGGAGAGATGCTCCAGTCCCTTACCCATCTTCAAGGTCCTTTGTTGGACTCTCTCCAGTATGTCCATGTCTCTCTTGTACTGAGGAGCACACAACCAGACACAGTACTCCAAGTGAGGCCTCACCAGTGTTTCTTTCCACTTAAAGAGTAACTTTGTCTATAGTACATCTGACTTTAGCTCATAGCTTGTATTTCTGCAGTCATGAAGTCCTGAGAAATCATCACTCAGGGACTGAGGGACTGGAATCACTAAAACACAACATGTTCTAAAACTTTCTAGTGCCTATGTAAAATGCAACCCATGATCCCAATTAAAATTATAATGAAGGCCATGCTGCACCCTCACTCAAGAAAAAGATGCAAGGCTCGGAGAAATTGTGTGAAGCCACCCTCAGAGTATCCCCTTTGAACTTTCCCTGAAAGGGATGGACTGCAGGGAAGATGCTGTGGGGAGGTAGGAAGTGTCTCAGTACTCAGTTTAAAGGAATTGTAACTAGCGCTTTCTGTCCCTCTCCTGCATTCTTATCTCAGCTAGACCACACCACAGAAGCTGTGCAATGAACATCACGTGGGACAGCCATGATGTACCATAACAAAAATCAATTCTCCCTACTGACATTGAGATGGGCTATGATTTCCACCTACTGCCTCAGCAACGTGGGGCTTAACTGACACCGTGACTGACAGAGAAATAGTCTAGCAGGATGCTGTGGTACCAGCACCATCTTATAGGCGTATACTGTCTACCACAGTTTTGCTGTACTTGTAAAAGCAGTAACAGAACTACAAGATGCACCAATGTCATACCCTAATCTGCAAATATTGCACCAGAAATACTCTTCAGGTAGCCTTTAATTTCTGTTTCATATAAAGTTGTTTTCTCTTGCCTTTGAGTAACTGGACCAACCCCAGAAGGACTCTGTTTTCATGACATGACCCACTACATAAATAGACTATAAAATATTAGAAAATGCTAGAAAAGCTGCCTTTTCCTAATTTTCATGTAAAAACTATGTAGTACTAGAAGGTAATTCTCTAGACTCTTGTCTACTACAGAAAAGGACACTGCCACTAGAAACTTTGTAAGCACTTAAGTCCCCAGTTAGTCACCATCAGCATCCAAATTTATTCAGATCCAGTTGCTGAATTCACAAATGGTCTCAGAATGGTAGAAATAAAAATTTCCAGAAAATGTGCTATTGTTCTTTCACTTACCCAAAATCATACAGCTTAACTCAGCAGGAGCATAAATGTTCCAGTAATTTATTTGATGATTGCTTAGACAGAAGAATACTGCAGACACAGTGGGATTTTTTTGCTGTTGTTTATAAG